GTGGAGGTCCTAGCTAGCTTAATCAGACAATAAAAGGAAATAAAATATACACAGATTGGAAAATATTACTTATAATTGTCTTTTTTTCAGAAATGGAATTGCCATATATATATATATATATATATATATGAAAGAATATACAAAAAAGTAACAGAATGAGTAAGTGAATTGATATTATCAAGTTTGTGGGATACAAGATCAGTACATGAAAAAATCAACTACATATCTATTGGCAAATAAACATCTAAAACCAAATTCAAATATTATCATGTACAGTAGCATCAAGAAACATGAAATACCTAAAGAAACATTAGCAAAATATATGCAAAACCTATAAGTGAAAATTACATACTGCTGAGAAAAAAGAAGAAATAAAGAAATGTGATACCCTAATTTTCTTGGATTGGAAAACTCCAAGTGTTAAGTTATCAGTTCTTTCCAAATTGATCTACAGAGTCACCCTCAATAAAAATGTCAGCAAGTTTTTCACGTAAAAATTTACAGAACTATTTTAAGATTACTATGGAAATATGAAGAATCTATTTAAAACAACAACGAGTTAAAGGATCTTTAATACTTGATTTCAGGACTTCCTACAAACCTTCAATTTTCAAGAGAGTAAGTATAATATTGGTATAAGGAGCAAATGGAACAAAATAGAGAGTCTAGAAACATAGTCAATTATTTTTTGACAAGGGTGCCAAGCTAATCTAATGGAGTAAAGAAGAGTTGTTTCAATAAATACTGTAACAACTGAATAATCACATGGAAAACATATTTGGATGTGAATTTCAAACTGCTACACAAATGAACCTGAAATAAATCTTAGAACTTAATATAAAAGTACAAACTGTAAAACATACAGAAAAAAAATATTTCAATTCTTGCTTGCCACAGGAAAAATTTCTTAAGACACTACACCAAAAATAAACTAATTCATCAAATATATAAACTTTAAATATATGCACAGGGGGTGGGAGGGAGGCTCAAAAGGGAGCGGATATATGTATACATTAGCTGGTTCATGTTGTTGTACAGCAGAAACTAACACAACATTGCAAAGCAATTATACTCCAATTTAAAAAAATAAAAAATATAAACTGAACTTTAAATATATGTACAATTTCATTAAATACATAAAATTTAAGTATACAACTTTAAATATATGCACAATTGTCTTTAGTAAATACTTCATGAATGAATGAATATCAAATATGAATGAAATGAATATCCAACAAGCACATGAATAAACTTGCAGCATCCTTGGTCCTCAGGGAAATAAAAATAAAATCCATAATCAGATAACGGTTCCCACCTTCTATGATGGCTAAATTGTAAAAGTGTCACAAAACCGAAAGTTAATGAGGATGTGGAAAAACTGCAACTTCTTACACTGGTGGTGGGACTCAAAAGGATACAGCAACTTTGAAAACCATGTAGGCAGTTTCTTTAAGACTTAACAATACCACACCATATGATGCAACCTTGCTACTCTTAGGTATCTGCCCAGGAGAACTGGAAGCTTCTGTCCAAAGACTTCCACAAAAAATGCTCATAGCCACTTTATTCATAATAGCCAAAATATAAAAAGAACTGCAATCTCCATCAACTCATAAATAGGTAAACAATAAGTGGTATAACCAGAGAAATTCTGACTCAGTAATGAAAAGAACCTGCTTTCTGATGCATGTTAGCACATGGATGAACCTCAAAAACATTATGCCAAGTGAAGAAACCAAGATAAATCAAACCACATCAATGTGAAATTATCCAAAAAGGCAATTTTATAGAGACAAAAAAACAGGATCACAGACATTTCAAAGTAACCTTTAGTAATATGTCATCGTATCTTTAACATTCATACTATTAATTATAAATGTAGCATGCATTCAATGTAGACCTTCCAAAACAATACAAATGCATACCCCTTTTCAGAAAGAAATCATGACTATCCATCAAACATGTATATTAGCAAATGCAAACACACATACACATTTACATAAATAATACATTTGTATATTTATGCACTTCTCTGAAAATCCACAATTTAACTTTTTTATTGACAGTGTATATTGAGGATGTGTTTTCTGTAAGTGTATATAGATTTACCAGATTGATTGTGACAGTTGTATGGCCTCACAACAGGCAGCCTGGGTCCCACATGGAGCATTTACTTTTGCAAATGAATAGAGGAGCACGGCATAACCAAAAACAAATTAAGGCCCTCCTGGCCCCATCCTGAACCTGGAGGGAAACTCAGAGGTCCCAGCTTAGTATGCCTTCTGTTGGACAGGGCACCTCTACTCCCTGGGTCTGGGAAACCATCCCCGCCCCGCCCCCTCCGGCCCCCCCGCACTGGGAACATCCCTATTCCCCTCACCCAGGCTGCCCAACTGAGGTAAATTCTTAAAGCAGAAGGGGAATCTGCCAAGGACAGAATCCGGCAAGGTCCCCCCCCACCTGGGGGAGACAGGGAGCAGCAACTCCAGAACCCTGCACCCAGACACTCATATGCAAGTTTTAGTAGCTGTACTAGAAACAGTTCTAGAAATGGAATTACTGCACAAGGTAATGCAAACAAAAATTTTGCAGAACAGTGTCAAATTTATTTCCAAAACAAGTGCAACATTTTAAACTCCTTCATAATCTAATATTAGAGTAGAAATATAAAAGTTATCTTATCATTTAATTTATATTAAATACTAAGTATATTTAGTACACTTACTGGGCTTCTATATTTTTTCATATTTATTTTTTGTTTTTTTTTAACAATCACTTTGTTTAAAATTATTTGTTTAAATAGGCTATCATTTCATTATTATCTGAAATACCAAAATTATTACATATTAAACATATATATAATACATATTTATGTTTTACTTTCATTTATGTTCCATTTGTTACTGCATTGATTCTGACTTGAACACTTATATATAAGTTAATGCATATAAGGTGTTCTGTGAAAACTCAATGTTATATAATTACTGTACATACAAAACATTTTGCCATAGGTAATACAAGTATCACTTCACTTTCTTTATTAAGAGCTTTAGCTGTTCTTACATAATTTTTCATCCAGGTCAACATTAGCACCAGATCACCAATTATAATGGAAAGAGCTTTAATTTTTGGCAACTTTGCTTAGAAATATGCCTAAATTACTTTGTCTATGAATTATTCAAACAAATATTTTAGTAAGGAAAAAAAGCGAATTTAATTTTTTTGGCTTTTGGTATTTTTATGCTAGCTTTCTTCTTTGTTGCTTTATTGCTGCTACCAGTCAAATCAGCTTACTTATATAAATTAATATAAATTATAAATTATATAGAAATTATTGATTAAAAATAGCTAAAAATTTGTCAAAATGTTTTACCATATTTTATATTCATCACATGCATGTAATATGAAGTGAACAAATGTACTTCCACCAACTGCCAGAGAAATAAGGACACAATAAATTATATAGAAATTATTGATTAAAAATAGCTAAAAATTTGTCAAAATGTTTTACCATATTTTATATTCATCACATGCATGTAATATGAAGTGAACAAATGTACTTCCACCAACTGCCAGAGAAATAAGGACACAGTACCACAAAATGAGCAGTAATATAAATGACTAACCTCCAGTTAAAAACCAAAACCGCATTCAGTGGGTTGACGTCGTCACGGGCTTTGCAAAGATGGCTGTCTTCTCAGTAGCATTCACGGAGAACTATAGCCAGGGTGAAAGAAGAAATAAAACCCTCGAGGTGGAATTCTACACTCAGCAAGATAATCCTTCCAAACTGTGACCAAAATAGGAGACATCCACATAAATGAATCTGAGACAATTTATCTTAATGGTTCGTAATTCACCATGCTACCGGAAGTTCTACTAGCGGAAGGGAAGTGACACGTAATGAGAACTGAGAACCACTCAAATACGAGGAAATAATACTGGGAGGCGGGTCAAGATGGCCTCCCCCATTGATGACAGTTGGTGATGGCAGTTGACTGTGACATCAGCCTAGGAATTTATGCAGCATCACAAGTGCTGACATCTGTCAGTTAAAAAGTCATGAGGGCTTTCCCAACCAGAACTAGCTGAGGGACAGTGTGGTTTGAGGGGTTTTGTGGGGCTGGGGTCCTCTAACCTCACCCAAGTCAATGCCGATGCCTCCTCTAAACTAAAACATTTGGGGTCACCTCCACCATCAGTACCAATATGCCTCACTAAATGTGAACATCTAACAACTGAATACACACTTTTCTCTGTCAGGAGTTGCAAGTCTGACACGCTGCAAATAAAATGCAAAATATGCATACCTAAGAAAATATCTTGTTTCCAAAAGTATGCATTAAAAACAAGGGTTATAGGATAATGGGTTATATCACACCTCTCCAACCTACAATTTGATTAGAGAACAAAGAAATAACTGTGATAGCATACTAACAGTTAAAAATGTATCAGTTTCTAATATATAAGGAAATATTTCAATAAATACAGGGTTTTAACTTTCAAGAAAATTGCAGGCAACATGATGCAAACAGAGGTAAGGACCTATTGAGCCTACTAAGCTATAAGGAGCAAAAGACACAGTCTGGGAGAACCACAGCAAGAAGACCAAAGGGCATATCCACATCAAGCCAGGAAAAATGACACTAGGTAAAGTAACATCCTATAAAGAATCACAGAATTTCAGCTTGCTGTGTTCAATTGTGCTACTATACTTTGCTCCTGTTACTTTTGTGTGGAATTAGTTACTTTCAGAATGTGTGGAAGTGTGTTTAAAATGCCTCAGATAAAAATGCAATTAAAAACTTAATTTTCATAATCAAAATGTTTAAAAAACACAAAAGTAGGCACAAGAGCAGGAATAGAGAAATAAAGAGATTGGAAAACAGAAAATGAAAGGCAAGATGGTCAACTTTAAAACAAACTATATAACAACTAAACTTCAAAAGACTTAAGCATTCCAATTAAAAGTAGAGACTGCTTTCTGAAGAACCGGCAAGATGGCGGAAGTGGAACAGAAGCAGCAGCGGACCTTCTGCAAGTTGACCTACCGCGGCGTAGACCTCGACCAGCTGCTGGACATGTCCTATGAGAAACTGATGCAGCTATACAGTGTACGCCAGCGACAGCAGCTGAACCGCAGCAGGCAGAGGAAGCAGCACTCGCTGTTGAAGCGGCTGCGCAAGGCCAAGAAAGATGCGCCACCCATGGAGAAGCCCGAGGTGGTGAAGATGCACCTGCGCGACATGATCATTTAGCCCGAGATGGTGGGCAGCATAGTGGGCATCTACAATGGCAAGACCTTCAACCAGGTGGAAATCAAGCCTGAGATGATCTGCCACTACCTAGGAGAGTTCTCCATCACCTACAAGCAGGTGAAGCACGGCCAACCCGGTATCGCGCCCACCCTTTCCTCCCGCTTCATCCCCCTCAGGTAACCTGCTGGCCAATAAAGCAGAGATTTCTCTAAAAAAAAAAAAAAAGTAGAGACTATCAGATAAGATAAAAATAACAACTAAATCCCAGTTATATGACACAACTTATAAAGATACAGTAAGGTATAAAATAACATTGTGAAAAAAAATACCAAACTAAAGTAAGCATAAAAAAAACTGGAATGGGTATATTAATATTAGACAAAATAAAATTTAAGAAAATGAGTATTAAGATAAAAAGGGATATGTCATTATAATTAAAGGATCCATTTAGAAGGCATACAATAAACTTAAATATTTAGATGCCTAAAAATAGAACTTCAAATACATAAAACAAAACTTGTTTGTGTAAATTTCCAGTTCTCTGCTAAATCCTTAATTTTGAATTTTATTCTTTGTATATATTAGGCATTTTGAACTGCATATATCTGATAGCTATTACATGAATTGCCCCCACCTCTTGAAGTAAAAGCAGGTATTCCCTGGAAGAAGACAAAATCACCCAGAATCTCTCTAATCACTTCTTTTACCTTGGTCAGTTCAGTTGTATTTTTTTTTCTTTTGAAGTATAGCTGACTCAAGAAGTTGTGTTAGTTTCAGGTGTATAGCAAAATGATTCACTTTACATATAAATAAATATATATTTATTTATTTAATAAATAATATATATTATTTTATATCATTTATATTAATAATATAATATATAATAATAAATATATAATATAATTTATATTATTATATATAAATATATATTTAATAAATAATATATATTATATATATATGTGTGTATATATATATATATATATATATATCCAATACTTTGGCCACCTGATGGAAAGAGTTGACTCATCAGAAGACCCTGATGCTGAGAAAGACTGAAGGCAGGAGAAGGAGGTGATCAAGGATGAGGTGGTTGGATGGCACCACTGCCTCAAAGGACATGAGTATGAGCAAACTCCAGGAGATGGTGAGGGACATGGAAGCCTGGTGTGCCACAGTCCATAGGATCTCAAAGACTCAGATATGACTTAGTGACTGAACAATTTTATATATATGTGTGTGTGTGTGTGTGTGTGTGTGTGTATACATATATATATATGGATGTATGTATATAGGAAATCAAAACCAAAACTCATCATATATACAAAATATGAAAACCTAATTTGAAAACATTTTGAGAGTAACTAAGTTTCTAACTAATTTGTAGCTTAATTCCACTCTGGATATGGAATATACTGTGTGTTAGTTACATGAATTTTGTCTCATTTTGCATAATCAGACTCAGTATCTGATCAAATTGTGTAGATAATTTCATGTGTACTTGAAGAGAGTATGTATTCTGCAATTGTTGAGTCTATTCTGTGTGTCAATTAGGAAAATACTGTCTAAATGTTATTCTTTCTTGTGATTTTTTCCCCTTGTTTTCCTTTAGTCTCAGAGATAGGTGAGTTAAACTCTTAGACTGTGATTACTTGTATCTCCTTTTGTAAATTGGAATTCTATTGTTTTGTAAAATTTGGCTATATTATTATCTAAATATGCAGAGTACATCATGAGAAACGCTGGGCTGGAGGAAACACAAGCTGGAATAAAGACTGCCAGGAGAAATATCAATAACCTCAGATATGCAGATGACACCACCCTTATGGCAGAAAGTGAAGAAGAACTAAAAAGCCTCTTGATGAAAGTGAAAAAGGAGAGTGAAAAAATTGGCTTAAAGCTCAACATTCAGAAAACTAAGATCATGGCATCCGGTTCCATCACTTCATGGCAAATAGATGGGGAAAGAGTGGCTGACTTTATTTTTCTGGGCTCCAAAATCACTGCAGATGGTGATTGCAGCCATGAAATTAAAAGACGCTTATTCCTTGGAAGGAAAGTTATGACCAACCTAGACAGCATATTAAAAAGCAGAGACATTACTTTGCCAACAAAGGTCCGTCTGGTCAAGGCTATGGTTTTTCCACTGGTCAGGTATGGATGTGAGAGTTGGACTATAAAGAAAGCTCAGTGCCGAAGAACTGATGCTTTTGAACTGTGGTGTTGGAGAAGACTCTTGAGAGTCCCTTGGACTGTAAGGAGATCCAACCAGTCCATCCTAAAGGAGATCAGTCCTGGGTGTTCATTCGAAGGACTGATGTTGAAGCTGAAACTCCAATACTTTGGCCACCTGATGGGAATAGCTGACTCATTTGAAAAGACCCTGATGCTGGGAAAGATTGAGGGCAGGTGGAGAAGGGGATGACAGAGGATGAGATGGTTGGATGGCATCACCGACTCGATGGACATGGGTTTGGGTGGACTCCGGGAGTTGGTGATGGACAGAGAGGCCTGGCGTGCTGCAGTTCATGGGGTTGCCAAGAGTCGGACACAACTGAGCGACTGAACTAAACTGAACTGAAGAAGGTTAGGATGTTTCTATCCTCCTCTTGGATTCAGGCTCTTATTATATTAAAATAAGCCTATTTTTTTCTTAGTAATAATTTCCTTCCTTCAATCTACTTTGTCTGATATAAGAATAACAGCACCAACTTTCTTTGGTTGACTGTCACATTATACATTATTCTCATTCCTTTTTACAGGACACAGAATTCATTAAGATTATATATATGCTTTCTGACATTTCTTAACTTGTAAAATGGGATCTTTTGTCTATTGACATATAACTAATATCTGATATGTGTAGATTTGAATCTTCCATAGTATCATTTCTTCTATTTTTTCTTTAGAATAATAATATAAGATATACTGAGTAGAAAACAACAGAAACAAGAACAACAACAATAAAACTTGCACCACATTATTGTAGGGGGGTACAGTTACAGAACTATAATATTAAACTTAAAACTTTGGCATACTATCATAAAGTGTAAGAAAAAAGCCTTGAATTTGAGAAATCATCTGAAGAATCATTAGACAAATGTAACAGTCAAGAATATACAATAGAGAAAAGATGGTCTCTTTAGTAAGTGGTCTTGGGAAAACTAGACAGCTATACATAAAACAATGAGATTAGAACATATCCTCACACCATATAAAAAAATAAACTCAAAATGGATTCACGACTTAAATGTAAGACTGAAACCATAAAACTTCAAGAAGAAAATATAAGCAGTACTCTTTGACATGGGTCTTACTGATATGTTTTTTGGATATGTCTCCTCAAGCAATGGAAACAGAAGCAAAAAAGTAAACGAATGACTCCAACTAAAAAGTTTTTGCACAGGAAACCATCAACAAAATGAAAAGCAACCTACTGAATAACAGAAGATATATGCAAATATGCCAGATAAGGGGTTCATTTCCAAAATATATTTTAAAAAACCTCATACAACTCAACACCAAAAACCTCCAAATAATCAAATTAAGATATGGGAAAGGGGACCAGAATAGGCATTTTTCCAAAGAACACATACAGACAGACTGCTAATAGTCATATGAAAAGGTGCTTGACATCATTACTAGGGAAATGCAAATCAAAACATAATGAGGTATCATTTCATACCTGTCAGAATGGCTATGATCAAAAGGACAAAAAAAAACAAGTTTTAGGAAGGATGTGAAAAAAAGGGAACCCTAATACACTGTTGGTGGGAATGTAAACTGGTACAGCCACTATGAAAAACTTTATGGAAATTCCTCAAAAAATTTAAAAATACAACTACCTTATAATCCAACACTCCTATTCTTACATATTTATCTGAAGAAAACAATAACACTAATTTAAAAGAAATATGCATCCCAGTGTTCACAGCAGGATTACCTATTAATACAATAGCAAAGATATGACAGCAACCTAAATTACTATCAAGAGATGAATGCATGTAGAAGATATGATATGTATCTATGTGTGTGCATACTTACACAACAGAATATTACTTAGCCATAAAAAAAATGAAATCTTGCCATTTGCCACAGCATGGATGTCCCTGGAGAGTATTATGCTTAGTGAAATAAGTCTGACAGATAAAATACAAAGACTGTATGTTTTCACTTATATATGGAATTTTAGGAAAAAAAACAAAGAAATGTAACAAAATGGAAACAAACTCACAGAGAATAAGGGAGAAGGGAAGGAAGGAGAGGGACAAAATAGGTGAAGAGGAATAAAGGATACAATCTACCAGTTATAAAATAAATAAGTCACAGGGTGTAATGTACAGAGTATAATGTACCCAAGTAATACTATGGCATATTATCTATAAAAATATCCTGAAACTAAATGTAATATTGTAAGTCAATTATACTTAAATTTTTAAAAAAATATTTCTTTTCAATTTTATGTCACAAGTTATTTTAATTAGTAAAAAAATATTTAAAATTCTCATTGCAGATTAATTACAGATGGCTACCAAGAGTGTCAATAAAGCAGAAATAAATGTTTTTCTGGAATTCTCTTGCTTTTTCGATGATCCAGCAGATGTTGGCAATTTGATCTCTGCTTCCTCTGCTTGTCTAAAACCAGCTTGAACATCAGGAAGTTCAAGGTTAACATATTGCTGAAGCCTAGCCTGGAGAATTTTGAGCATTACTTTACTAGCATGTGAGATGAGTACAACTGTGTGGTAGTTTGGGCATTCTTTGGCATTGCCTTTTTTTTGTATTGGAATGAAAACTGACCTTTTCCAGTCCTGTGGCCACTGCTGAGTTTTCCAAATTTGCTGGCATACTGAGTGCAGCACTTTCACAGCATTATCTTTCAGGATTTGAAATAGCTCAACTAGAATTCCATCACCTCCATTAGCTTTGTTCGTAGATTCTGCTTTATTGACTATGCCAAAGCCTTTGACTGTGTGGATCACAATAAACTGTGGAAAATTCTG